GCTACACTGAAAGCAACGCACCCATTTAAGAACATTTAAGCACTGAGAGAAGCATTTGACAGAAGCCACCTGGTTGGTCAACACTTTGAGGATCTATCAGTCGCGATGGTCTTGCCCAATCCAGCTCCCTACATACTGTAGAGGAAAATAAGGTTCCTGTAGTACATGTAAAATGCAAGTCAGGAAGAGCAATTTGGGTCCTCCCAGCTTCTGGAAAGGGCAAACCTCTCTGTGAAATTGTGTTTGTTCAGGGGCCTGGGTCCAATTGGTGGGTGATGCAGAAAAATGTGGATATTCAGTGTGTACCACAGGGGAATTTAATGTTGTGGGAGTGCAGTCAGTAATTCCATGCATGTATATATATGTGCATGTGTATGTATGTGTGTGTGTGTTTAATGCATGTTAATTATTGTTTGTTTGTGTATATATATATATATATATGTTAAGCATGATGTAGTGATGTGAGATAAGGGGTGGAATGTCATGGTTTTATGACTTTTGTTATCAGTATTCCACATCATAACATCATGGACTGCACTGGCAGTTGAAGAGCTAAAGCTCCAGTTCCATTGTCAGTATTTCCAGGTATCTAGTTCTCAGCAGAGAACTACAACTCCCAAGAGGCTCACTGTTTCATTTCCATTTTTCATTCAGCAGGAAAGATAAAAGCTGTTCACAAGTCATGAGATGCCCCTTTTTTTTCCCCCTTCTTGCTCGTCTGTTGTTGTGTGTTCCCTAGCCATCTCGCATTCAGTGTTAGAATAGGGCCTTTAGTTTTGGACACTCTCTGTTTCTTTCTCATTTTATTCGATTTATTAGCCTCAATTCCAATTATATTGTATATTGTGTTATCTTGCATTTTGATATATTATTTAGTAAATAACTTTCCTCAGATTGTTGCCACTGTTTTTTTTTTTTAGACCCATCTCCCTACCCTTCCCCTTTTCCCTTTTCCCCTTTTCTGGGGTGTGGGTCCTTGGGTCCCCCTGCTTCATTAGTCACGGAACTAGCTGAACCAGCCTGTTTTGATATGTGCCCCCTCCCCTTTTTCTTTTTTTTTCGGACTGTTTTTTTTTTCAGCCTGCTGTTTTCCTGTCATGGACACAGATATAGAGATAACTCCGCGACACTGTATATGTGAATTATCTTTTTTTGTGTGTGTGTTGTATATAGAATGCTGTTGTCTACTTTCTTTGTACCCAAAATAAATACCACCTCTGGGTGTACCAGTCATTTTCTGAAGGTCTATGTGTTTTTCTACAAAAGCAGCCCAGGATGATAGAAATTCTGAGTTTCTTAGGAAAGACTGAAAATTATAGGACAGGGAAATTCTAACTGATTTGCAATTTGACCCGAGGTCTCCTGGTTAAGGTGCTAAAAAACTCTTGAATGTAATCCTAAATAGCTATAGGGTAGTGAGTATTTTAGGGAGGAATAACTTATATATCTATATGCGTCTTTCTTAAGCATGGATAACCCAGACATTAAATACAAGACTCCTTATTAGAGTATGAAAATATGGATTCATATTTGCATTTGCATATTTGCATTTGCACTAGCAGGTATGGACCTGGATAATTTCTTAGTCAAAGAACATATTGGCAGCTTGACAATTAAGGCAGTCCACTGTAGTACAAATTGAAGCAATCTAGTATTGCAGTTGTGCTTTTCAATGTAAAGAGTCAGTCATGGGAAGCCTCACATTAGATTTTCAGGGTTTTTTTTGTTGTTGTAAAAATGTTAGATGAAAGACCAAGAAAGATAATGATAATCTTTTGTTTGGAAAAATATGTTTAAAATAGGCATTCATAGATCATTGCCTATTGCCATAATTTGTTGGTTTTCTTCTCAATAGTTGCCATTTAACTAGTTCTATTAAGACTTTCGGGTGAGTGTATCAGGTAGCTTAATAACAGATGATCCAGAGGTATTACAGGTGTGTATACTCTGAAATTAATGAAAGAGCATCTGTACATACTACCTCTTACTTACAGATGCTCTTTTAGTAGGTGTTTGGTTACTTGATTTGTGATTTAAAAAAAAAAAAAAAAAAGATATAGGGAAATTAAAGCTATTTGTAAGTATCAAGTAAAGCCTTACTTGAAATATTTAATTTCATTTCTTACATTTGTTAAACTTTCAAGTCATGCATGTGTCAGTAAACCAAACAAATTGCATCTGGGATAAGAAAAGAAAGCAATGCCTACATTGTACAGTACACAGTGCAATAAATGAAATTCCATTAACAGTCTTGTGGGTTTATTTTCAGCTGAACTTAATTTCCATTTTAATGAACTTTACAAAGACAGACATAAAACTGAATCTGTGACTCAGTAGTGGGCATAGACTGTGCTTTCCTTGAAAGTAGCCTGCAGAATAAACTCCAACTTTATCAGATATTTGAGAATCCATGCATAAGCAAGTTGTTCTAAGTGTCCTTAAATAGGACAAGCATCAACAAATATTAGTTCACAACAGATCAAAAAGTTGGGAATCTAATAATGAATCATAAATCTATAAGAATCCAGGTTTCGTGACTTCTTCTGTGGCAGAGTGCTTCTTCCTAAAGAAAATAATAGTAATCTGAAGTAATTAAGTCTGAATAACAGTTGTGGGATTTTTTTGTTGTTGTTTGTATTTGGTGTTTTTTGTTGTTTTTGTTTTTGCATTGAAAAAATTGCATACAGGAAATATTACATTGATTCAGTGTTGGCATGGAGCGCTGAGTCCTTCAAGAGTAGGCTCACTGCATTATACCCAGATGAGTCCAATGGGCAATGGGATTCATATTCCTTACATACAGTATTTACATACAAGTTTTCTTTCACTGTGTACATATGATCCAGGTTGACAGTGGTTTCCTCAAATAGTGATGCTACTGTGTGACAGTCACAATCTGTGGGAGTTACCTGACCCACAGATATGTGAATACCACAAGAGTGGGTTCATAGTATTTCATAATAAAAAAAATTGAGATTTTGTTTCCATGAATTTCTGTAGTATATGTTACTACTAATTACTACTAGTAAGGCAAGTATATATTGAAAGTTGCTACAAAATTACTGTAAGTAAAGCAACTATGTACTGATGATTAGTTAGTTATTTATGTACCTGTACATAAGGGTACTCAAAACAGATGCTGACCCAGACTGCTCACTGTTCAGTCCCATCACATTGTGGAAATCATCTGAGGTAGAAAGCTGTTTTATGAAACCCTACAAGACAAGTCATAGAAACTGTTGAAGGTGAATTGAGCTAATTTGCAGAAGTGAAGGCTACCCAGCTAGCTTTAGATATCACTGAATGAGAAAAGTGGTCAGTGCTGTACCTGTGTATTGACTTACAAATGCTGACTAATGCCATGTGCTTGCAACAACAGAAGCAGAGCAACGGGCAGAGTTGCAGTGGCAACAGTGCAGAGGCAAGCCTATCTGAGCCACTACACTGTAGAAAGATATAGCTGCCAGAGGAGAGAACCTGGATGTGTAAGTACATCATGTAGATTCTCACATACTCAAGTATTATGCCACAAAAGAACATCAAAGCAACGAGCAGGTGGATCAGGCTGCTAGAATTGGAATGACTCAGGTAGAATAGGATTGGCAGTGTAAGTTGTTCATAGCTTGCAGAAGGAGGTAAACTAGGTGTAGATCAAGAAAAGAGAAAGCTAATAGAGCAGGAAGACAACAAGGGCATATGGGAAGAGGAAGAGAAGCTCACTTATCTCTTAAGCCAGAATGAAGACAAATTGAGTCAGCAAAGAAAAATCCAGAATCATAAGGATTCACAACAAACAACTTTGAATACTATCATATGTGAGGAGAAATATTTTTATCATTAAAAGGTTTAAACTAAAAGAAGATAGATTTAGATTGACATTAGGAAGAACTTATTTACTCAGAGAGTGGTGAGGTACTGGAAGACGTGGTCCAAAGGAGTCACAGATGCCTCATCTCTGGGAGAGTTCATGGCTGTGCTTGATGGGGCCCTGGGCACTCTGATCTAGGGGGTGCAACCTTGTCCACAGCAGGGGCACTGGAGCTCATTGGTTTTTAAAGTCCCTACCAACCTAAGCCATTCTGTGTTTCTCTGAAAAGTAGATTTGGCGCAGAACTATAATACTCCTCTTTAGAATATCGCAGGTTTAATGAAAACACAGCTAATTGTCTACTGATTTCACTGCACAGTGATCACAGATCAGATGGGAAGTTCTGTATCAGCCATTTTAAACAAATATTAAAAAATAGCCAGCTTTCAGTCCCACTGTAGTATATACATCACTCTTGGCCATTCTTCAAGAGACTTGCCATATGACTATGGTAGAGAACTTTATTTCTTTAACCAAATATTGTTAAGAGTGATGAGAAGAAAAGAAAAAAAGTTAATTTTGTGCTTTATTAACTTTGCATTTCCTCTGGGTTCTGCCACTGGCAGAGAGTAGCGGAAGTTGATCCTGTAGATAATGAATCTATAAATCTGATTGTTATTGAATACTGGCAAACAACCGTGATGCTATCAGAACTCATCAAAAAACTTATCCAGACTAATGGGACATTATGACAAATATTTATTGAAATGATAATGTTTTAATTACCTCCATGACTTCTTTGCTTGGAATGAGGAACTATGAGGCTGGATACTCTGAGAGATTGTAGGTGGTTGCAAAAATATATGTGTTGTGGAATTCTTTCAAATAATGTTTTTGTCCTTTCTACAGAAAAGTTGCGCTGGGTTGTGTTGCTGGGAGATAAATTGGTAGCCCTACTTCATCTGCTGAGTCTTCAAAACTAGAGTCCTTTAAGTGGCTTTTAACTAGATTTATCAGTGTAAATTGCATGCCTAGGTTTAGGTAAGGACATTTAATTTAATTTTGTTTCTGCACCAAGTCAGTGAGAATGTTACTATAAAACAGTTAACTGGGAATTTGCTTGAGAAATTCCTTCCTTTCAGAGAGCAGAGGAAGTAATCAATGATTAAACCTTTATTTTATCTCTTTGCAGTTATGTGGCTGTGGGCTCCTGGGCGTGGGCATCTGGCTGTCAGTATCACAAGGAAACTTCGCCACATTTTCTCCTAGCTTTCCATCACTTTCAGCTGCCAACCTAGTCATTGCCTTTGGTACAGTCATCATGGTGACCGGCTTTCTGGGCTGCCTAGGTGCTATCAAGGAGAATAAGTGCCTACTTTTGAGTGTAAGACATCAATGCTTATTTTTATGAACACTGTTGCTTTGTGATTATTTTATTAAAAAATATTTTCACCAGTGCAAAGCAGTCCTGTGGATCACTGGCATTTCCCTTAACTGCCTGTCTTCCGTAGGATTGCAGTATGACATCCCACAGGTTTGGTGGGATAGCCCTTCTGAAAATGTTTGTTAGAAGGACTGACTGGAAAATCTTAAGCACAACTGCTTTTGGATTCCAGTCATAATTGCTCATGGCTATTTTCTACTTTGTCTTTAGATAAGACCTGTGTCAGAGATTGGTGGAAAGCATCTGACCTGAAGTCAGGGTCACTGCCTGGCATTACCATTTAAAAAGATATAAAAAAATAATAATCTGGTAATTGGCAGCATTTGTCCAGCAAGGAAGCACAGAGTTTGAAAACCCCTCTTAGAAATCACACCGTGGATCTCTCCTCTTGCATAAACCCAGGAGGTTTCATCATGATCCTCACCACTCTGAAGGTGAGAGAAGGGCTTCCAAAGAAGACAAGTTCCAGTTCAATTGAAGTTTGTGAAACACAGGTTCTGTATTACTAAAGATCATGTTTCATGTGTAAATGTCTCCCATGCTGCTGGGGAGCAGATGAGCAGTATTCCTTATACCACTTCAGAAAATTAAACTGGAGGACGAATATGCGCTTGCTCACTCTCTGCTGTTTTGTTTTGTTGATTTTTTTTGGTATGTTGTACAGCTGGGAAAGGAAATTGAGAATAGTAACGGGGTCTATATTGCTCATTCGCATGAACTACAACACCAACAGAAACTACTTTTCTTTTTAAGAGTGTTTTTATTCTTATAAGGCTCTCTTATGAAAGAGAGGCTCTCTTATCTCAAGAAGTCTTTGATACAAATTATTGTGTGTTTCTGACTTTTCAAGTACAGCACATCACCCTCCGTTTCTCCCACTGTGTATATGGGGATGCCATGGCTATGTGGCATACCACTAGTAGCTAGAAGGTTGCTTCTGGATATGAAGAGCAATTAGAAGCTGTTGAAGCTCATACTTGGGCTGCCCCCTGCAGAGAGAGATTTCAACTACAGACAGTTAGAAATAGAAATGCTGAGTCACTTGACTGTTCAAACAGGGAGTCAGATCTAGTTAAAGCCTACCTACAAGGGAATCATTCCTGTGGCACAACACATTTATCTCTGTAGTAACAGATGACGTGTTCTGTAGATTATATGACTGTGTGTACAGCTCTGGAAACTGATAGTAGAGCAAAATCTAAAATATAGAAATTACTAAACAGCGTGCTTCCTCATTGATGGTAAGACCTATAGGAACTTTAGTGACAAGATAGTATTAACAATTAACATACTTGAACAGTTTGAATTCAATTGCATATTTTCAGGAGTAGAGGAAGGGCTTGGTGGACAAGGCCTATGATCTCCAATTCATAACTGTCTGTTTTGCAAGTGTATATTCACAGTGTTTTTCTTTGTTCTAGTTTTTCATCGTTTTGCTGATAATTCTCCTGGCAGAGCTGATATTACTAATTTTGTTCTTTGTTTATATGGACAAGGTAAGCAAGTATGACAACACAGATTAATTATCTTTACTAGCAAGTAAAACAGGTTCAATTAGCTTTTGTTAGATGAAAGTGTGAAGGTTTTCTCTGCTTTTCAGTTTGGCAGAGATCTTAGCTGTTTTCTGCAAGCTGCTTCTGGGGGAAAAGGAAGGGAGGAAATTATAAGGAGAGCAAGCAGGAGAAAACATGTTTCTCCCTGAAATAAAAATCATGGTCCAAAGCCTTCTGTTTACTCCTATCCTAAAAGTTAAGATACCTATCAACATAGTTATTTGATGTCTCTGCAAAAAGCTGATAATCTTATGGATCTGCGTTCTGGGAGGTTTGGATTTGGTTATCTTCTTAGGGCCAACCCTTCTACAGAACTAGAGGAGCAAGGAACGAGTCTGGGGAGTAGATGAAGAGGTAGCTTCTCATAAAGCCCATTGTATCCTGCTATGTGGTAATGATTAAGAGAAGCAGGTAACACTGACTGGCTTAGCAGCTCAGTAAGACTGAAAAAATCCTGAGTGAATTGGAGAGATCTGATAAACATAGGACAGAGCCTTATGCTATGAGCATATCCAGATTCATTTCGAAACAGATCTCTTTCCATATTATATCTCTTCTCAGGATGTCATGATGATGTATGCCACTTTCAGGGAGTTGAGGTGAACTGTTTTTGAATAAAATGTGAAAGAGGAATAAAATAGATCTTACAAAATAGTTGTCCTCAATGCCTGGATCTATACATAGGCTAACTCTTTCTGTTCTGCCAGCTCACTCCTGAGTTGGCAAGCTGAGTTGGCAAAACTGCAAACTGCTTCCTAGCCTTTTTCCAAACCTTCATTGGATTTGGCTGTCAGAGCCAAGATATATTCCTACTTACATTAAAAATTTCAGGCTTGGACAGAAATTTATATGACAAATAGGACATATGAAACCTCTTGCTAAGCATTCCAACTTCCTCCTTTGAAGCAAGAACACTTTCGAAAACTTTAAATCCTGCAAGCATGTCCCAACAATGATAATGCCCTTTCTCAATTGATTTCATATTGGCCATTAATTATAGCCTGAACTTGTGCAAGGAACAACTAAGTTTGGGAGATGGAGACTCCGGTTTTAGGATATTAGCAAATTAAACTAGATTACTGTCATGAGAGGCTGCTGTGATATATTGCCAACATCTGTCTGTGACAAAGTTAACATAACCTCAGCTTATGCTGATTACTTTGGTTAGTTTGGATCAGATAACTGTATGATAGACTCTTACCAGATGGGAAACTGTTTAAATTCTCATGAAAATTAATCCAGGAGTAATTAATCTGTGAGACAGATCTTGCCTTGACAGGTGCTTGAAGAGAACTTATGATAGTATTGGAGATAAAAGAGATTTTTCTGCCTGTGTTAATTTTGTGATGTGACAAAAGAAATATATTCCATATTCAGGTCTGCACAATTTGGTCTTTTCCTACAAATAGCAGTGCACTCACATTCAGTATTTGTATGATGCAGGTCAGTGAGAGCGCAAAGAAGGATTTGAAGGAAGGTATGAAGCTGTACAACTCAGAAAATAACGTTGGTCTGAAAAATGCATGGAATATCATTCAAGCAGAGGTAACTCATTTTCTCATTAGAAGAAAACAGCAATTTGGCTACAAAGGTTGCCACAGTCTGTTAACTGTAGGATCTCTTTTTAATTTAAAAGATGGCTAATACAGGCTTTTGTTTCGGGTCTTGCACTCAAATATCCGGAAAGTACTCTGAAACTCAGAATCAAGAAATACTTTGTAATATGAAAGCTGCTTACCTCTGTCTGAGAACTGTGTTTGTCATGTGAAAGTATAGTCTGTAACAGAGGAAAAGGAGCAAAACCTTCATATATAGAACAGGACTTGCAGTCAAATGCAAATTACCACATTTTGGCATTTGGGCATTTGTCTCTGGGACAAAAATGCTAACATACCTTGGATATAGGATTGGTTTTTTTTAATGTCATTAAGTATTTGCTTTTAGTTATCACTAGGCACAAAAAAAGCCCTTGAAAAACAGTTGTTTAGAGGATGTAAAGAAGTAGTCAGCCTCACCTCAGTGCCTGGTATGATTATGGGAGAGATCCTGAAACAGATATTCTTGGAAGCTATACTGAAACATGCAGAAAGCAAGGAGGTGGTTAGAGACAGCCAACATGGCTTCACCAAGGGCAAATCATGCCTGATGCAGCTAGTGACCTTCTCTGAAGGAGTTATTGCATCGGTGGACAAGGAAGGGCTACTGATGTCATCAACATGGATTTCTGTAAGGCCTTTGATACACTCCCCTACAATACTCTTACAACTAAATTGGAAGCCTATGGGTCTGATAGATGGGCTGTTAGATGGCTAAGGAATTGGCTAGATGGCTGCATTCAGAGAGTCATAGTCAATGGCTCCACATCCAAACGGAAAGCAGTAATGCGTGGTGCCTCTCAAAGATCTCTGCTGGGACCAATACTACTGTACATCTTCATCACTGACATAGGCAGTGGGATTGAATGCACCCTCAAAAAGTTTGTGGATGACACCAAGCTGAGGGGTGCAACTAACACTTCAAAGGAAAGGGATTTCATCCAGAGGGACTTTGGCAGGCTTGATGACTGGGCCCTTGTGAACCTCTTGAAGTTCAATGAGGCCAAGATCCTGCACATAGGTTGAGACAATCCCTGATATCAGCACTGACTTTAATGAATTGATGGAGTGCAGCCCTCCCAAGAAGGACTTTGGGATACTGATGGATGAAAAATTGGAAATAAGATGGCAATGTGCACTTGCAGCCCAGAAAACTAGTTGTATCCTGGATGCTTCAAAAGAAGCATGGCCAAGAAGTTGAAAGCGATTATTCTCTCTCTCTCTGCTCTTGTGAGACCTCAGCCTGGAGTTCTGCATCTCCAGTTCAAGAAATGTGGGGATATGTTACATCAGATCGAAAGGAGGGCCACAAAAAATTATCAGAGGCTGAAAGTTCTGTCCTACAAAGAAAAGTTGAGTGAGTTAGGGTTTTTTTAAGCCTGGAACAGAGAAGGCATCAAGGAGACTTTATTACAGCCTTCCAGTGTATAAAGTCAGCTTATTTGAATGACTGAGAAGAACTTTTCTACTGTACTACCAGGATATGTAGTGACAGAACAAGAGGTAATGGTTTTAAACTGATGGTCAGTTGATTTAGGTTGGATATAAAGAAGAAATTCTTCACTAGAATTTCTGGAGGAAGTTGTCCAGAATAGTAGTGGGTGACTTGTCATTAGAAGTGTTCAAAGTCAGTTTGGATAGGGCTTCAAGCAGTGAAAGATATCCTTGCACTTCACAGGAAATGCGGAAATAGATGACCTTTAAGGGTCCCTTCCAACCCAAATCATTCTATGACACTATGATTCTAGCTGAAAGTTTGCTGTGGTATACCTTTCACAAATTGCATATAGTTAAGGTAATTTATTAATCTTTTGCCATAGATGAAGTGCTGTGGTGTAAATGACTTTACGGATTGGTACCCAGTACTGGGAGAAAACATTGTCCCAGACCGATGCTGTACAGAAAACTCTCAAGACTGTGGACGGAATTCCACTGAATTAGTATGGAAAACGGTAAGGTCAAGTCTTAGAGAAGGGTGGGAAGGAACAAAATAGAGGGAATGCATATGAAAGAAATACCTTGTAACCTTGAGAATTCGATTTACATCTTACAGGGATGTTATGAGAGAGTTATGACTTGGTTTGATGAGAATAAGCATGTCCTTGGCTCAACTGGGATGTGTATCCTTATAATGCAGGTAATGCTGGTATGATGTGTGTCAACACAGATTTTACTTGCTCTGAACATCCTTGTTTCTGTTACATGAAAAGTGGTCCTCAACTGCTTTGAGTTTGATCATGTTTTCAAAAATGTCAGATTTATTCTATGAGCTTATTTGAGGCTTTATCTTTGTATAGAATGCAGGTCAGTCATCATGCTGACCCTCAAAGAAGACATGCTATAGTGGGGTTTCACTTATCTGCATTTTTACTTCAGAGCCTGGGGTTACCAGATTTATTATCCGTTTGTTACCTTGTCTCTTAGAGCACTGTACTTTTTTAAATTTGGAAGCAAGTTCTGGAAATTGCCAGAATGAATTAAATAATGGGTATTGAACTGAGGAAGTTAATATGTGCATAAAAAAGGAAATGCAGATGTATCAACATAGTGTAATATTGTTTGGGCACTCCTGTATAACTGCTGTACTTCGTACAGATTGCCAGAATCTGATGTTTTCAGTCACAGGTTTTTGGTTAATCAAGCACAAGATTTTGGATAAAAAAGTGACACAATTATGTTTTTCTGATTTTTTTTTTTTTTTTTTTTTTTTGGCATGTGTGACCAAGACCCCTGAGAGACCTTTTTGCTTTCATCACTGCTTTAACAGATGATACATCTTCAGGCATTGCTGTGTGCCTTTATAATATGCATCCTAGTTTACTGACAGTTTAGAATGTCTTTTAAAACTAAAGTTGGACCATGAACACACTGTAGTTTTGGCCATCTTCTTGTACTGAAGCCTTCATTGTTTGCTTTCCTTCAGATTCTTGGCATGGCCTTCTCCATGACACTCTTCCAGCAGATTCACAGGACTGGCAAAAAATATGATGCCTAAAGCCTCTGAAACATTATCACATCAGCCCTTGTGTTTGATCATAAAAATGAACAAAAGGAGAGACTGCAAAGAGTATCAAGCCAAGCCCTGCTGAGTGAATCCGTCCCACTGTCTGATCTACTTTGTTGTTACTTGTACAGATATTATCACAACTTGTTGTTTGATTCATATTTTTCTCTGTTTCACATTTGCCATTTATTTGCCAAAGAGAGGGGGAAAAGCTCCCGAACACATGGATTTTCTAAACAAAATCATACATCTGTTTCCAAGACTATTCCCTTGATTTAAGAACACGTTTTGCTCTACCAATACATGCTAAATGTGCAAAAGTTATATAAGTTAAACTTTAAGGGAGAATTCTTCAAAGTCTTCCATTACGTTTTCAACCCTCATGTTCAATTCACTGGAAGTCTTGTAAAAGCTACTCTAACTGGGAGTCTTATGAATTGGAGCTTCTTGTACCTGATGGTGTATACTTTTTTGTTATGATAATGATGATTATTAATATTATGATAAATATAGCTTAGAATTTAGTATCCTGATTTATAGCTTCTATATAATATATCTGTTTTTACACATTTATTGTACATTAGTGTAGAAACCACTGTGCAACCTCCTGAGGATATGTTTTTCAAAGTTGACAGTTGGGGAGGACAGATAAAGAAAATGTTTCTCAAGTTCACTACTTGAGAAACACTCCTCCTACCTCCTACTTAATACTCCTGTGATGCTAAATTTCAGTGTCTTTACCCAGCCAAAGCAGACTGTGACACTGTAATTGGTGCTCCTTGTTAGACTGTTTTGATGTTATGCTACTTTGAAATCTAAAAGTAATGGCTAAGTGAGTAATTCTCCCTGGCATAAAGGAGAAAGGTTGCAGTCTGGCCTGCTGGTCACTTGGCAGCAGGTTTCACAAACTGTATTGTCTGTTTCAAAAAATTTGCATAAAGCATGGTGTGCTGCAGGATATTAGAAAGAGGGGTAGCAATTTTATTACAATTTTGTCATGCTATGCCTTTCAGTGAAGTGGTTCCATCAAAGAGATGACAGCTATCTCTCTGAGCTGGAAAAGATGTCTCTGGACAGAGAGGAACATGAATTTGATTAAAGAAGAGCAGGTTCAGAAAAGGGGCAATTTCCAAAAGAAACTGAGAGAGACAATGCACTGTCACACCTTCAGCACAGAACTGGTTCATGCTGGGAGATTGCCAGATCTACCCAGTGATGTGATCAAGAGTTCACTGAGATGCGATGCATATTTTTTAGCCATATTCTGACTACAAAATTTGAACAAAAATTCTAGTTTGAATGCCATTTTATTGTAAGCCAATTCCATTTACTTTTTTTTTTTTTTTTTTTTTAAAGAAATCTCTCCTAAGTTTTACAGTGTTGTGAAGGAAGAAGAAAAGGCCATTAGAGCATGTTGTGTTTTAGCTCCAGTCAGGGCTTAACTAAGCTCTGAAAGGAATTCTACTTTATATTAATTCAGCTTATATTAACTGGCAGTTAGAGGGGATCTTTGTAAGTTACCTCATCCAGTGTCACTCTCAAAAGAGAGCTGTCATCTATGTGAGATGGAATTCACTATGATGTTAATAGACTGAATAACAGAAACTGCTAAGGATGGAGATTTTATGCCTCTGTGGTATCCCATTCAGAGCCGTGCCATGTCAAACTACTCCTGTGGTAAATACATTTCTCCTAATGTTCAGTCTGAATATTTATGTTTTAATCTCTGAAAATACGTTGGTTTCGTTGTATAATTCAGCCAATCTTTTCATGATGAGCTGAAGTAACAATTGGGCCGCTTCCTATCTGGAAAGTATGAGTACCCTGTTTTATCTTCCTAGTAGGTTCTGTTTGCATTTGTAAATCAGACAGCATTTTGTGTGGACTCTCTCACTTTTTGATGTTCCTTTGAGATCAGTATGATGGAAAGAGTGTGAATGCATGGGACAAGAGAGATGAATTTGTATTTTGGGTATTACAGTGATGTAGTCCATTACTAATCTTAAAGAATGGCCCTTGTCCACATGAGCATGATGTCTGAAGTTTCATAAATCTCTTGTTGCCTACTGAAGAACACTGTATGGGCTCAGCTATTTAATTTGCATTGCCTTTGAAATCCAGGGAAGGAGTAGAAGGGAAGCACAGTAACTGAATCCAGTTTTAATTCCACTTCTAACAAAAATTGGGACCAAGAACATCTGAGCCTCATTGGAGATGTTGCTCATCAAAGAAGGGGCTCTGATGCCCAGTATACTTGCTGCTACATGTAAGACCATATACAAAATACCTTATACAAAATTACTAAAATGTGTTGCTATTTCTACAAGAAAGACAGAACAATTTTCATCTAATGACTCTATTACATTCTCCCTTTGGTCAGAGGTGCTTTACTTTTTTTAATTTTCTTTGGGGTTTGAGAAGAATAAGATGCATCACATCACATCTGTCCTCTTGGGTTGCACTGTGGTACGTGCTACAACTTAAATTTCAATCTACATACAGCTTTTATACAAAAAAAAAAAAAAAAAAAAAAAGTGAAAACAATAGGAAAGTAAAAAAAAAAAAATTAAAGTTCATCAATAAAACAGAGAAGAAATGCATAGTTGCAGATTTGACTATTTTGCCTTCCATCTAAACTTTTTTTAGAATGCTTCATTCCATTTCACAATCTAATAGTAAATACAATAGATCTTAATCTGAAGATTACTTTTATCATTCTAAACACAATATTAATTGAGGTAGTTACACAAGCTTTGTGTATTTATCTCTGTGAAGCCACTCTACAGTAAGGTAGTCGAGAGCAGGGCTGGTTTGTGTCTCTAGCTGACACACCGATGTGGGAGAAGACAGACATCCTGAAAGGAGAAGAAAAGTAATGCCATTTTCTAGGCAACAGAAACAGCCTTGGAAACTGTGAGGCTGCATCAGTAAGTTTGTCATGGAAAGCACTGTCTCGTAACTGTTTGGTCTCGTGTATATATGCACTTTTCTTGCTTATGCTAATGGGTGGCTTTCTCTGCGTTTTCCCCAAACATCATTTTAGTTATTTAGCTGCAAATTTTTAGCATGTTTTTAAATTTAAAAAAGTGATAATTCAGTAAAAATATATTTAGTATACACAAATATTGATTTGTATCAATACATACTTCTCTGCATCGTGTTTTCTGGAAAGCAGAGTTCAAGTGTGTGAAAATGCTGTTTCTTTGAATATTTCTTCAGATTGTAGTGTATCTGCTGTCTCACTGTGCTTTATGTTTGGAAGCTGCATCAGCGCTTAGCAGAGACATTGGGAAAACTCCTTGAAAACTGTGGAAGTGAAAGCAGTGAATTATGTTCCCTCTTGGTGGTACCAAGGTTTTTAGTTATAGGAATTGCAGGTGGAGAGAACTGAAAAGAGCACACTCTCTGCACATAGCATGTGAGATGTTACCAACAATGGCGTAAATTTATCAATGATAACAGATTAGTTGTGTACTCTGTGCATTGAGTTCTTGGACTATGGTCAAGTTATGCCAACCCTCTTACAACTCTCTTGTGTCCCTCCCCACTGTCTCCATTACTATTAATATACATGGACTACAAATATACACAGGAGTGCAAGCAGAAGACAGCAGAATTGCTCCTTGTGGTCTTTTTTGGGCAGTATGTTGGTCAAGTATAGAGAAGACAAGAAAGAAAAGGGTATTTTCCTAGCTGATATTTTTTGGGAGCAGCATGGAATAGGGCACACATTCTGATGTAACTTACTTTTATAGGGTTGAACAGCTTCATCCTGTAGCCTACGTGGGGAAACATGGAGATGTTTGCCTGCAGACTAGCCAGCCGTCTGTTGTGCAGTAGATAGTAGACACAAAGACACTAACAACATACCATTCCCACCAGGTGATGTTTGCACCAGTGTTTCTTCTATGCAATACCTTTTTTGCCTTTATATAAAAGTTTTTTTAATAGGATGATACACAAATAAAGGATATTTTAAAAGGTGCTTCTTGGAGCTCATTTCTTTCCCACCCTCTTTATCACTAAAAAAATACCTAAAAGATGACTCACAGAGATCCATTCCTACTTAAAAGTCACTGAGATTCCACAGGAGTTGCTTGAATGGGTTGGTAAACAGTGAGCCATTTGGGCAGGACAGAAGAAGGATGCGGCTGAGATAAAGGGCTAAAGCCAGAGAATATGTGCACAGATATGGAGATGTATTAAGTCAGAAGGATAGGACTAGAATTTGAAGCCACTTAGGAACAAAGAGGGAGTGGATAGTTCAAAGTATCTAGTGTTGAGTGAATGGAAGCTAGTAGAGTATGAACTCTGAAAGTATTGTGTCTTGCAATCCAAAGGATTGCGATTCGAAAGAAACTGGAACTTCCATACTGTTTAGTTTGTGAGTTGAGTGTGAATCGAAGAAATAGACGTGTAGAAACTTAACAGCAAAGTTTTGTTACTGCTAAGTCAGGTATTCTTTATCAGTGGCACCAGAAAGCGCTGGGGATATTTCCAACATAAGCACTTCAAAGATTACATGTTCATCACATGATCAGAGTTCATTATATTTCCACAGATGGTACATATTCATGAATTACACATGAGACAATTAACATATACATGCTCAGACAGTGATTCATGAGGTTTCCGGTCTTCTATTCCATGGTATCTTCTACCATCTATTGTCCTTTTAGCATCATGACAGTCCAGCCAACAGTCTTGTACTTCATCCAGTGATCTTCCTTGCTTGTCCTCTAGATGAACTTTTTTCATCGACACACCAAAATAGTGGCATTTGTTCACTCTGCACTCAGCCATTATTTCTGGACATCTGCTCATCCTTGGATAGAGATAAGTTTGGCAACCCGATTGTTTATTTGTTTGTTTGTTTGTTTGTTTACTGGGGTGTTAACCTGCCCTTTAGTGATGTATACTGGGGTGCAGAAGGTAAGGAGGATAGTGAGGAGTACTTGATGCCTGCCTGTTGCATCCCAACCTAATCCCAGAGTGACACAATTTGGCCTTGTGTGGAGGTCTCTGCTTTCATTATTGTGTTTCTTTTGCCAAGGGTCTCTTATTAAAACAGAAGAACCTTACAGCATGCTTTCTAGTCTATAATGTTACATCCACACTGTTTGCAACATCTAAAATCTATTACAGTAATGCAAGAATTAATCACATAATACAGCAATTCAACAACTTTATTTTTAAAATATGCTACTAAAATATATGGTATTTCTACTTTTTTCATATCAGCTATTTCTAAAAACAAGTAACAAATTACGTTGTGCCCTACTTCAAATCAAGTGGAAGAAGGCTGGAGCTGGAAGTTTTACTAAAGCTAGGGTTGGGGAAAGTATGTGAAGTGAGAGTTGTGGGGCCTAGAATTGGAGAGTCAGTCAGAGTGAGAAAACTAAAACTTTGACAGAGAGAAGAGGAATGGGTATGGAAGCCATGTACGCTAAGAGGAGGATAAATGGAATTTGGAGTTGAAAAGTATGTTGGGAGTGTGAGCTCTGGAGGCAAGAGTATGTCTAGACAAGCAGAGAAAAGATTGTCATTGGAAGGTGCACATTCTGAGGGAAAAAGAGACAAGAGGTATAAAACATTTTAAGATAATAGGAAGAAGACTAAAGCAAGAGGTTATTTGTATTGAGCGAGGCAATGATACTGTGATTACATTCATTCCACTAGTGACAACAGTCTTCAGAGAAAAAATGTCTTTGCAGCTTTCACTTGTTTTTAGCAGCCCCTTCCCAACCCCACTCTAGCTGTAGCCTCTCAGCCCTAATCAGAATCCAAACTGACCCATAGTCCAAAGACTCCAATCCATGACTCAAATAGATGTATTTTAATTACAGACTGCATTACCTTTTTCAGTGCCTTACTTTTCCCACTGCACATGCAGTGCTCTATATTCTCTTAAACTTTAAGTATCTTATAGGTTAAGACCCACTTTTTCAAGATCCTCAGTCTTCCTTCATTGGCTGGCCCTTTTCAGTACCACTGTAATATGCTTTTGTGCTTTTCTCTGATTGTCATCATTTACCATAACCTGTAGGTTCTTATAGGACCTCACTTATGCCAGAAAATTATTTTTCCTGAGAGAAATTTTATTTGTAGCTGATGCTTTTGTTTTGGTAATCCTATTTCAGTCACAGTTGTCATCCAAAATCCAGGAAAAAAAACCCTCTAACTCTAGTGTGGTGTTAGAAAGTGGTATTCCTTTATTCCTCATGATATGTATCAGGCAACTTGACAAACAAGCACAGAGTTCAGGTTCTACATTTAAACAGTTGAGACATACATATAAAGTATATTGGCATACATATTCATTCTTTTCCAAGAACTCCATTATATATGCTAATATCCCACTCAGTAGTGTCTTGGGTGATCATATGCCCACTTACTTTATTTTTCCATCATCAGCGTCATCGCTTATGGCTGACCTTTAGCTGTTTTCCCCCAATTTGGCAAATTTCCATTGCTTGTTAGGCCAGAACAAGCAACTTCCAAAACAGTTTATGTGAAATCTGAGGAAGACATCCCTTTGCACCTGTTGGGTGCAAAAGATAAAAGTAGTTTATTATGACTCCAGAGTTTCTTGTGAAGCAAAATTGTTGAAGATAAGACTGTTCACAGAGATTGAGAAAAGAAAACAAGGTTGTTCACACACCAAGCAGAATTGAAATTGAAAGTTTTACAAGTAAGGCTCATGGATTCCTTTTGTTAAACTAATATATTGGTCCTTAAATTAATATACTCTCCGCTATTGCTAAACCAGCCTATATCACAGGAGAGGTGTGACTTTCAACTCTAACCTACCTCCACAGACTCCATACTTAGGAGAGAATTCTTCTGCAGTCCTGACATCCCTTTGGCAGGCTCTTTCCAGCCCCACTCCAATTTCAGTGGTGTACTCAACCATAATCCAACCATAGTCCAAAGGACTTTACTTTTCACAAGTATTACTGAGAAAATATTTTTTTTCTGCAGCCATCACTTTTCTTCAGCAATTCCTTTCCAACCACATGACAAATGTAGCATGTGTAACACATCTTTCTCTCAGTCTTAGCCCTGTGTGGAACTATGGTCCTGGGTCTATATGGTCCTGGAACTATATTCCTCCTTTCACAGGCTCCTCAGAAGCAAATATAAGAATGCTTACTATTTTTGGCAGCCCTACTTCAACTGTATGCTTTCTCTGCCCTCACTCTAAACTTTGTGATTCTAACATGTGATTTTGTGATTTGTGAGATGAAATTAAGTCATTTATGGAATCAAAAGAAAAACTTGTGCCTGAACTTGAAGATCGCAGAATCATAGAACAGCTTGGATTGGAAGGGACCCCAAGGATCATCAAGTTCCAATCCCTCTGTCACAGGCAGGGCCACCAACCTCCAGATCTAGACCAGGTTGCCCACAGCCCCATCCAACTGTGTCTTGAACACCCCCAAGGATGGAGCATCCGCAGCCTCTCTTGTTCCAGCACCTAACCATTCTCTGTGAAGGACTTCTCCCTGATATCCAATCTATGCCTTCCTTTCTTGAGGTTAAAACCAATCTGCCTCGTTCTATCACTATCTACCCAAGTAAAAAATTGATTCCCCTCCTTTTTATAATCCCCTTTTAAATACTGGAAGAGTGCAATAAGATCTCCTTGCAGCCTTCTCTTCTGCAGACTGAACAAGCCCAGCTCTCTCAAGCCTGTCTTTGTAGGGAATAAGTGAAGTGCTCCACCCCTCTGATAATCTTTGTGGCTCTCCTCTGGACCCTCTCCAACAGCTCCATGTCTTTCCTGTATCCCCTGATCTGGACAGAATACTCCAGATGGAGTCTCATGGGGGAAGAGTAGAGAGGGACAATCACCTGTCCCTGCTGGCCACCCCTCTTCTGATGGAGCCCAGGATACCATTGGCCTTCTGAGCTGCAAGAGCACACTGCTGGGTCATGTTCAGTTTTTCATCCACCAGGACTCCCCGGTCATTCTCCACAGGGCTTTTCTCAAGGAGTTATTCTCCCAGCTTGCATACGTATCTGGGATACTCCTACTCAAGTGCAATACCTTGCACTTTGCTATATTGAACTTCATTAGATTCACATGGACCCACTTCTCAAGTTTGTTGAGGTCCCTCTAGATGGTGCCCCTTCCTTCTAATCTATCAACTGCACCACTCAGCTTAGTGTCATTGGCAAACTTGCTGAGGGTGCACTTGAGCTGGTCATCAATGTCACTGATGAAGATGTTGAAGAGCACTGGTCCCAGGATAGGCTCCTGGGGACACTGCTTCTCAACAGCATCCACCCAGACATAGTGACATTCAACCCAACCCTCTGTCTATGGCCTTCTAACCAATTCCTTATCCACCGAATAGCCCACCCCTCTAATCCATATCTCTCCAATTTACAGATAAGGATGTGGTGTCATATTAAAGACCATGTTAAAGGCCTTTCACAAATCCAAGTAGTCATCTTCCATCGTCTACTGATGTCATGACTCCTTCATAGAAGTCCACCAGTTTGGTCAGGCATGATCTTGTCTCGGTAAAGCCATGCTGGTTATCTTGGATCACCTGCTCATCTTCCACGTGCCCTAACATGTTTTCTAGGATGATCTGTTCCATCATCTTCTCAGGCAAAGTGGTGAGGCTCACTGGCCTGTAGTTCCCCAGGTCCTCTTTCCTCTTTTCTTGTAAATGGTAGTTATGTTTCCTTTTTACCAGTCCCTGGGGACTTCATCCAACAGCCATGACTTTTCAAATATGGTAGAGAGCGGCTCAGCAACCACATCAGCCATCTACTTTGGATCCCTGGTTTGCATATCATTCAGTCCCATTGAGCTGTATACATTCAGTCTCATGAGGTGTTCTTGGACTTGTTCTGCCTTTACAGTGGGGGAATTTACTCCCCAGTTCCCACCTAGAGGCCCAGGGATGCGAGCTTCAGGGATGTGACAAATATGAGAATAGGTCTTCACTGGCAGCTAGGATTCTTGTATTT